TATATTTATTTATATTTCACATATAAAATTTTAAATATAAAATATGACTCTCTTTTCGTTCCAACCCTCACGACACATGCCCAAACGTCAATAGATATTAGCACGACGCGATTTCCAGGCCGCTAGGATTCACGGATCCAAACAACAACGCTAACCCGGCGCACTGGACTTCATAAAGTCAGGACACCTGACAAACCTTCTCTGCAAGGGCACGTTTCCTCCGGAAGGCAAAAGTACATGCTTACTCTCAGACTATTTTAAGTCTCCATTGGGCAGCTTGCAGTATAGACGCAATAGAGATTTCCCGAAGGTCTCGTACGCCTAGAATGTGGGCTCAGGATAGATCGGAAGACCGTGACCTCCAGTTAACCCCTGCCCCGACTGGGCTGTTGATCTAGTGTGCTCAGTCTAGGATAGTCCTGGACACAATGCCCAATCAATTCGGACAGTGGCGATCGGGCCTTGAGGATTACTACTTTTTAAATCATAATAATCCAACTTAGAGAGTCATACTTATATTTATATTTTATATTTTCATTTATATTTCTGCATTCATATCGAGAAATATATACCATAAAAATATTTAAAATGAAAATTTAATATTTTTGAAAAATACTAATTTAATTGAATTTCTTTTACGCGGTTTTGTGCCATTTCAATTGTTAAATATTTATTTCAAAAATTTAATAAACTTAATAAATTCTATATATTAATATATTTGCAAAAAATAATTAATTAAATTTTATTATTTTTAAAGTATCTATAACTTTATATGTTATATAAGTATTTAATTTCTTAAAACATTTAAATTATTTTATTTATTTTAATTATTTTAATTTTACTTTCTTGCGAGGTTGTAATTTTTAAGCAATTAATACTCATAATTAAAATGCGAAAAACAAAAGAAAATAATGAAACATCACGTACAATGAGCTCTATTTCATGAGCTCTTTGTACTTGTACAAGTGCATTACAATACAATAAAAAAATTAATAGTATGATACCAGGATTAAATATACACTCCTAAATCTATCCATTTTGGGGCAACAAACTGTGAAAACATATCCAACTGCAAAATTTTTATAATAAATACATAAAAATAATCTAAATTTCACAAATTTATTACCCCAATATAAAAAAACATTTATCACTCACCGACCCAATGCGCAACAGCGGAGTTTTATCTGCAACGTAGCTACGATGATTCTGTAACAACAAACAGATGCAAATTATAGCAGCGTTCTAAATGATAGATATTTTAAAAAGTAATCTTTACATATATCAAATTTCCTTGTTTTTCAATTAGATATTTATTAAAATAATTATATAAGTTTCAAAAAGGATTTTTATAGAAATAAATTCATATCAAATTTTAAATTGTTTTTCTTTTCGAGACTATAAATTTCAAATTATCAAAATTTAGCGATTCAAATAAATGAGAATACAAATAATTTTAATAATTTATGTTGACAAAAAAATGTATACTTACCGCAAGGTTGCTCCGCCAGTGCCAGATGCCTCTCCTAGACCTCCTCCTCCTCTCGAGATGTCGGGTCGTTGGATGTCCTCGCAGCACAGGACACTTGCGAAAAACACTCGCGAATTATTATAATCGCGCGCGGACTAATTTTTGCTACCCGTGAAAATATCAAGTTCCGTCAGTCCAGTCAGCACCCGATGAGCTTTTCGGAACACACGGGACAACGTCTCAAGCAAGGGCTAGGACCGAAACGGAAGAAGACGAATCGACTGACTTGAATCCGACGTCTCTTGTTTCTTAGAAATCACGTCTAAAATTGACTCAATTATCACATAGCCAACAGTTCAGGTTGAATCACCAGAGCGGATACCATACACGTGATATCAAACGTCACTCGGGCTATCGAGAAGGCTGGTAGATATGACGAGAGAGAAGGTACTCAACGCCGATGCTTAACAATCTAGACAATCGGACAACTGAGATTCAGCCTCTCGGCACACGCAATAATCGCCCGAACTAAGCTCTGATCGAATCAGATTAAACGCGATTTGTTTAGGAAGAGAAAATAAAGTAGGAAGGGAAATAAAGGTCATTGGCGATTAAATAATTGCACGCGCCACATAAGAGCCCTTTCATGACTCGTGGCAATGCTGTGTCGAAAATGAAAAATAGTTTGAGCGCCAGACTAATACGCGCTTTTAAATAATCGCTTAAATCAGTGCAACAGTGAAACGCATGCGCCACATAGGAGCCCTTTCACGACTCGTGGCAATGCTGTGTCGAAAATAAGAAATCAAGAGAAGCGACGAAAACAAGTCAGCCGATTGAAATCTTGCCGATTGGGACCGAACCACTTGTCGAAGACAGAGCGTGTTCTCAATCAGCCGTTTAATGCGGTTTGCAACTGTGCGAAACACAACACATCAAGCGGTAGCTGTGAGTGCGTGTAACATTCACAGCCGGTATCACCAGTGCCGCGGCACACGTGGCGTGAGGACGTAGCCGACTACGCCTCAATGAGATCCCGCACTCCCTGCATCCCTTGACAGTGCGACTCCTGGCACGAACTATGATATTTAATGAATGAACCCTCGCAGAACGAGGAAAAGTCTTTTAGTCCAATCCCTTACGGCACTCCCGAAGCAAACGCGCGACGCGACGAACTGGCTGCAGTTCGTTCTTTCACAATTAAATCGGCGGCGGAATGTCGGTTCAAAACCGACGATTAATGTGTGAAACGCATTAATCAACTTTGCCACATAAGAGCCATTTCACGACTCGTAGCTATGCTGTGTTAGTACATTATTAATAACAGTAATATTACCTAACATTAATATTAATGTTATTAATAACGGTGCAACGGGTACTGTTAGCTTCTTCATCTTTGGAAATTCCGTTGGGGAAGCCTACAGAACCCCTCGGAATACTGAGCCCCTCTGCCACGTCAAGACCGTACCCATTGGAGGGGTATTATTATTTATAAAAGTTATGAATTTCAAAGGAATAAATCGTGAAATATGTATATAATCTTGTTATAGAGTCGTCATTTCGATACACTTACGAATTGTTAATCGTGTGAGTTAATAAGCATTTATTATTACATAAGGTATTATTTCATAAGATATAACAATATTTATTATCATTTAGCATTAAAGAAATGCGAAGAAATGCGAAGAAATTCGGAGCAACGCGCACCGCGATCTGCCCGTACGAACGCCAGTGAGGGAATGGTAGCACGTGAACCATTCGTAAACACGGCACGTGCTACCATTTCGTCATATATACACAATGGAGCGCGCTAGATAGCGCGTAAACATTTTTTAAGGTTGTTGACAGTTTAACAACGACGAAATATTCAATAATATTACAAATAACTAACTTACATAAAACACTCGCATTTACAAGCATCTTTTAATAACTGAACATTAAATAATGAATATTTTTCATATGAATATATGTATTTTTGTAATATATGTATGTTTTAGAGAATTATCGTTTCGATACGCTTATGAATCTGACTACATTCGTTTATTCACTTAAATCAGTGATGGAATGTCGATTAAAAATTGACGACTAATGCGTGAAACGCATTTGCCACATAGGAGCCATTGGATGACTCGTGGTTATGCTGTGTTAATACATTATTAATAACAATAACATTAATAATGTATAACGCTAACATTAATATTAATGTTATTATTAACGTGCAATTAGTTTCTTCCTCGTTGAGGTACGGAATACTCAGCTCCTCCGCCACGTCAAGGCCGTCCCCATCGGAGGAGTTATTATTTATAAAAGTCATAAATTTTAAGGGAATAAGTCGCGCGATGTATGTATACTTTATATTACTTTTATATTACTTTATATTACTTTATATATATATACTTTATTAAAAAGTCATTGTTTCGATACGTTTAATCAATCGATTGTAAATGAGCACTATTATATTCACTATTATATTCACATATATAATTTGGCGATGAAATTTTTCATTTAGTAATGAAAAAATGCGAAGAAAAATGCGGAGCAACACGAACTGCTACTTGCCCATACGAACGCCGAAGTTAAAGAATGATAGCACGTGGAGCGCTCGTAAAGACGGTACGCGTAGGACGTCGGATATATGTATGTACATACGTACAGCCACGGCGAGTAAACAATTCTTAAGGCTGCGATATTTACATTGTGTGTGTAAAACGAAATATTCAACAATATTACGAATATTATCTGATTGATACGAGGCACTATAATTGTATGATCAATTCAACATATATGCTGTAATTACATTTTAAATATCTTTTGAATAATCAATTATCTGTGCTGTTTATTGTTTTGTTTTTAATAAATAAATTTAATTAAGTCTTTGTTTAAGAAATGAATATGACTTATTGAAGATAGACATGTAGATATCTTATATATCTTATGTGTGTTTCAATGAATTCAAAAAACAATTGTTACAATAAATAAACTAGCTGTACGTATGTATGTATTGCAAAATTCTAATATGCTAAAATGAAATTTGCAGATGCTAGTGTACGGAGGTTTCGAGGATCCCACGAAAAAGGTCGGGATGATCGTTCTCAGGCTTTTCCCTGATCGAACATTCAAATACTGTCAAGTGAAGCGATGTCTCGAGAATCGCGAACATCGAGAATCGAACGACTAACATGGTTGTCGCCCGGCGAAGGTTGACGCTACACTTTTGGTGGCTGTCAAACGTAACGTGACGTGACGTCCTCGCGAATTAAACGCAAAAATTTGATTTGCAGTTCGCGATCTGTGATATCGCGGACAAAATGGGGATCTTCTTCGCAAAAAAGAAACATACGAGCCGCGTCACTGAGCAGGACAAGGCGATTCTGGTAAGGAATCATTTTAACCTTTTCCTCAGCTTTACTCGTGAAATTGCCAATTCATCATCTTATCATTGATCCCGCCTAATATAGATCGCAAATTATTAACAATTATTTAATTTTATATTTATTTTAAGCAAAAAATTATTAGACATTTGGTGTACTAACATTAGAGAAACGTTGTACGTATTATAACCTCAATTTGTCAAAGACGCATTTTGTTTGCAGCAAGTAAAACAAGCGAGGGATAAGATTAAACAGTACCAAAAAAAGATTGAACAGAATTTGGAAAAAGAACGATTGCTTGCGAAAGAACTTCTAAAAAATGGAAAAAAAGAGTAAGTGTTATATTTATAAATATTATTTAGAGAAAATATTTGTTTATTATATAATATATTTATATAATATAATTTATTATTGTAGATTATTAGTGTATATATAGTGTTATATATAAATTAGCAATATTTAGTAATTATTAAAGATTTAGATGAAACTTGTGTTTTGATAAAAATAATAATTGTTGCTTCCCAAAACATCTCGTTCTTTATTTACTCAAATAATATAATATTACCTAATATAAAATTAAGCTTTGTTACTTTGTTACTAAAATTATCTTGTAATTTTTAATTTCAGTCGAGCGTTGCTTCTGTTACGCAAGAAGAAATATCAAGAACAAGTTCTGACACGAGCAGATGGTCAGCTAGAAAATCTTGAACGTATGATGCACGATTTGGAATTTGCTCAAGTTGAGATGAAAGTTGTTGACGGTCTAAAAGTTGGCAATACTGCATTGAAACAACTGCATGCTTTATTGTCTATCGATGAAATTGAAAAAGTCATGGATGAAACAAGAGAGGGTATTGAGAAACAAAGAGAAATAGATGAAATATTATCATCAACATTTGCTACAGAGGAAGAGATTGATGAAAGCGAGATTGAAGCAGAATTGGATGCCTTGATAGAAGCAGAGATCGAGAAAGCTCCTGAAATATCAAAGGATGTTTTACCAGACGTGCCAAAGGAATTACCAGAGGAAGAAAAGAGTCGAACGAAAGAAAAGATTCAAGAACCAATCGCGATAATGGCATGAAATGTAATATTCAAGAACTGACAAATTTTTGCTAAATGATTTTGTGCAATAAGCTATGTATATATGTACAGTAAATATACAACATATTTAATAAGTCTGGTTTATAAAATGTATTCATAAATCAAAACTTTAGTCCAAATTACTTTTAATTTGTTGTATACTATGTAATAAAATCCATTATGCTATGTATATATATCATAAATTTAAAAATGCTATGATGGAAGGTATGTATGAATAAATAAATATAATTTTTTCATATATTATATTTAATACCTAATCAAATACAATGGATTAATCTATCAATAAATATTACTAACTTTTATTTTAATAATTTATTTAACTATGAACTTTGTAATGTGTGTAAATAATTAGCAATTTTGCTTATTAATAATTATAAAATATAAGTATATAATATAATATAATGCAATATATGAATATTATAATTTAAATAGCAATACACCTATGAGAAACATTATATTTTTTTTCTTAATTACATTTATTTTCTCAATTAGAATTATCTTGTTTAATTATAACAATTAATTTCATTATTTTTTAATATTTTTTTATATTTAATTTTATATTTAATGATGTATCGACCTTATAGAGATCTTATATTTCAAGAGATTTAATTATAAATTTTTTTAGTTTACTTTAATATTTTGTTTAAAAACTTAAAAAATTCATATCTGTTTGTTATAAACAATAGTAGATTTTATAAAACAAGTTGAGAATTAATGTCTAAATATATACATAGAGTACAAAGATGTAATCTGAAAGATGATCTGTTAATTACTATTTCTGCACATTAGCATGATATTCATTAGCATGATCTCAATGTTATATGATAGCATAAGCTGTGACCTTATTTGCAAGAAATTAGAAATTTGCATAATTAAACTGATGTTTCTTTTTAACTAAAAATAGAAATTTCATAGTATACTAACAAAAATTATGATCAACTTAAAAATCTATCTCATATTCCGATTTTATATAATCTTTTAAAAGATATCAAGATATTATTATTTGGTAGACTTTAAAAGATTCCGTTCCAGACATTGAATAAACATAATGCTTCAATTTTGGATGTATCCAAGGATCTTCTAAATTATCTGAATAGTAGAAATGTTTAATTCAGGTTTAGATAAATTCCAGATCCTGATTTGCAGCGAAATTAAATTGGGAACCAAATTTGAGTTTATAATGAATTTGAATCTAAATCTGGATTTATATTTAATAATTAAATAGAAAAACAAAAATATGCTATAATTAAATAGAATGTAGATTAAGAAAAAATACTTTAGAAATCATATATTGACGTTTTCTTTTTTTAATATCCGATTCCACCAACGTAGATTTGCTTTAATCTCGATTTAACTTGCTCTTTATCTTTTTCTAATTCTTAAAACTAGAAAAAATAAAAAGTAAGTTGAACCGAGATTAAAGTTAATCTATTATATGTTGGTGGAATCGAGTATAAGTCTAAGGTCTAGTTTAAGGCGAGGTTGAAAATTTAGGCAACGGTGGGGAAAATCGTTTTCCATCCTGTTCGTTTTAATACTAGATATGTGTCTATGACATCCTACTTACGCTATCACCAAATAAAATACATACATGTAGACGTATATGTTACGTGTACATATACTTGACGTCCTTTTTTTACTTTTTTACAAATTTGATTCAAATAATCTAAATAGTTTTTGTTTTGAGTTTTTGGATTGAAATTAATTTTGAATATGCAAATGTCTCTGAGATATCTGACTAAATAAAAATTTTATTATATAGCAATTTGTATGTAAATTGAACAATAAAAATTGATTATTAAACTGTCTTTATTAAATACATTATTTATACACGTGAATTTTAATACAATGTCGATACATGTGTATTTATCATGTCAAGTTTTAACGAATTCGTGATAAAGATCTACAAACATATAACTGTTTGTCAGATGATCACATATCGGCATTCAGATATATTTTTTGATCAATAATATATCATTATTTTTAACTAAATCATTTTAGCTAGAAGATAAGGCATCGTTCGCTTACAAGGCCGTTATCTACTCCTTAATGGCAATGTGAGCATAAGATATCTTGACCAGACTTGCAAATATTTGCCACTGCTCAAATTTTTCCACTCGCTTAGTCAAAAGATATCCGATGGAATAGTAAATAATGCTCGTTATGTAAAAGTTGTGAAGTATATTGATGATGTTTTGTGAATTTTAAATATTTTAAATCGAACATTTGCAATAAATAAATGAGACTTTTATTTTATGTTATGCTAATTTTATGTTATGCTAATTAAATTTCTTATTTATATTTTATATAATCTTAATCGAATTTAATTGATTTACTATAAAATCTAATATATATCAAATTACAATAATAAATTAATATTGAAATCATAAGCTTAAATTTTACCTAACTTAATATATCTATATTTTTATTTACATTCATCATACAGTATATAAATAGCTTTATAAAAATCTTTATTATAGCTTTGTACAAATTAAATTTTTATTGATGTCTAAAAATTACTAACAAATTTATATTATATAAAATTTAAGTTTATAATACATATGTGTGATTTTAATTTTATGCCATTTTATACATTATTATATAGTATACGAATAATTACATTTATTAAGAATATTGATACTTATTAACTGTCATACTGCGCATTTGTAACCAACTTTTATAACTTTATTAAAATGCATTCAACAGCGTATATTCTACGCGCGTAGATGTTTTGTTCAAGTAGAAGATATTTCTTGTATCCATACCAATTACCACCTACTTAGCAACATTTTCTTTCTAAGACGAGACGATTACGAAACATTGATAATACATTCTAATTTTTTTTATAAACGCCATGGCGCCTATTTAATATCCGAAGGCAAATTTCTGTCGAATTTAGCATCGAATATAATAATTTGCAAATCTAATTGTCTAGAGGAAAAATTGCTCGAGTGCTTAATTTAATTGTTTTATACTTGACCTCATTTACGACATGTATATGTCGAAGATTATTCGCAGAGAAATGGTTAACCATAACGTGTATTGTAAGTTAGTAGGAAGTACGGAAAATCATAAAAATTTAAATGACGTCTATACGGATGAACGATTCCGCATTTAAAACTGGATGACCTTGATGGATGAATGAGACTGAGAGGAAAGACGGAGACGCGTGAAGAACGATGGCCATACGCATAAGTTGCTTGGTAAACGGTGTTCTTATTTCTTATTCAATGCTTGCTAATATTTTAAAATCGATCAACAACACGTTCACATCAAACGATATGAAAATATTTGATAAATAACTTAGTTGAAGATTTATTAATTAATTAAACACTTGAAATTTTTTGAAAGCATTTAAGTGTTCCTTATTCACAATTGCAAGTTATTTACATTTATAATTTCTTTAACATTATATATTCTTGATTTAATTTTGTAATGTCTTATAATAAATGTTTAACAATGGGAATTTAATTTATACAGATTATGAAATAAAAGAAGTACCGATATATAAAATTACAAGAACTTCTTGACTGCTTGAAAATATATTTTCTTTATCATCTTTTTCTAATCTTTCCTTATCGAACGACATGCGACTAAGGAACTGCAGTTGGTATATAAATATAATTCATATAAATATAGAAACAGGATCTTTTCACTTTTCCGTATATTAATCAGGCCGTAATTTCCAAAATTGTCCGTGACGTCATTTCCCGGAGATTCCATCTTCTCTTTAAAGCCACTTGGAAAAAACTTGAGATAATTAGTAACATCAACAGATTAACAATTTTACATTGTTCAAAAAACAGATTAAAACGAAGGGATTACAATATGAAGTATTTATCAATCGAAGTATTTGATAATTTTTATTATTTAGATGTTATCGTCATGATATTATCGTTAATGTATTATTGTAATATAACAATTTAGAATATCTACTTTTTCGATTAATGAGATTTCTCTCTATAACAATTTAATTGATTCTTAAATATTACTTTTTAATATCTCAGAAATCAAAACATAAGATATTTTTGCAAAAAATATGCAGGAAACATCTAAAAAATGCTTTGACAACATGTTATATTTCGATTTTGGATTTTATGTTGTCTAGGATCTTATTTATTTATCTTTACTTGATTATTTGCAGTTTTACTATTATTTGCATTTTTTTATTTCTTTTTCCATAAATCTAATATAATATTTGGGAAACTACAAGTATAGGAATAATATTGTAATACAAACTTATATTAATTAAATCACACTAGTATAAAAATATTTATAATATTATTTTATAGATGCCACGTAAAGTCACAAGCATGCACATATGATAAAATAAGCATAAAGCCATAAAAATATCTATTATTTATATCTATTATTTTTACAGCCTCTATTTGAAATTATTAATAAAATTATAATATACATAATCTGTAGAAACTTTTTCTTTCAAAATCATCGATTTTTTTAAACGCATTCAAGTATTATGTTGATTCACTTAAAAAATGAGACATGTTCTCGAAAGTACTAGACCATTAATCAATGATTATCTCGATTTAATGATCACAGGTAAAATCTTAATATTATCTCTTATCTGGGGATGTTGAGTGGAATTATCTTTAGACAAAATCTAAATTGTCTCATGAACCTATTGTGTTTATTTGAAAAATTGTGATTATTACTTCACATCAGATAAAAACTATTTGATATCTAAAATAGACATGGTATTAAAATAGATTAAAGACAATTTTTTTATTATTCACCTGTTGCGATTTCAATTATTACACATCTTTCCACTTTCAATGAGAG